AGGGGAATTTGATTGTAATGAACGGGTTAATTATTTTTAGTGAGTATCAACGATGCGTAGGGTGTTGTGTTAGAAAATATATAACATTCAGGCCTAGATTCAGGGGTCACTGTCAATTGGTTTAATTTCAGTTGGTATATCAGAACATTTGACGGAAATCGCTTTAAATCGACGTTTTAACAAATTCCGATGTATATAGGTACTGATCCTAGTTTCCTAGTATCCTATATAGGTATAGTTAGATGATTCAATAATATGAATTTTAAAAAAAAATGTACAATATTATAGGTATTATAAATCATACAAAAAAAAAATAATAATAATACCATAATATATAAATGTTCAATTGGCTAACTATATGTGTATAATATACTTGTACACAGATACACGTAAAAATGAATTAATATTTTGTCGGTGACCCCCATAACTATTAAAAACGGATGGACCGATTTGGCTGATTTTTTTTTTTTTTTTTGGTATGTTTGTAGTTATTAGGATAAAGTTTGTATAAAATAATCTTTTTGGAAAAGTCGTAAATTAAATACCAAAATTACCATCCCATATTTTCATATGAAAATCTCAATATTTATTTCATTCGTATCATTAAGGTAATCCGTAAATCAACAAAAATAATTCGATAATTGACGTTCAGTTTCGATCACATATGTCCATAACGTCAGCAAATTGATTATAAATAAAAATAAAGGTTTGTACGAAAGAAAATTTATGGTAAATCTACTGGAAAACTTGGAAATTTGGATGGTATTTAAGTTATAGCATCATCAATAAAATATCGATTCATTTGTATACTCGTATATACATATATATATATAGACAGATAGAGTGAGAGAGAGAGATAGTTTCTATACGTATATATATAAATATATCAATTTTTGATTTTATTTTTTTTTTTTTTGCAGTTTTCATAATAATTGGAAAAAACTGGAAAAAGACGAAAAACGAAAATGAAAAAATTTATGTTGTATGGATTCAAAATTTTAAATTTGAACGCTTTATCTTTTCTGTACCAGATATATTGCTCCAAAAGAAAAATACAAGAGAACTTTTTTGTAAATACTCCCTACATTATAGAGACGTTAACCATATTAAGCCAACCATAGTTTAATTTTGACATACATAATCAATACGGTATAGGTGGTGTAACAACGTACATTAATTACTATAACTAAATTATGCGTACACGGAAGTTACATACGTATACGACAGTACAAAAGGATTTGTTTAAAAGTAAACTTCTACCGCCATTATTCTCATGCCAGTAAGTTTGCAAGGTCTTAAACTTAATTTATTTTTTAAAAATCACTATTAATATACATGTATATATAGTATATAATTATATATGCATACACCAGGAGCGTGCTCAGCTTTCTCCTATGGGGGTTGGGGAGATGAAATATAGTTTGTTTTGTTAATAATCATATACACAAATTAACAAATTGTACTTATTGGTATATACATTGATATCTTAGGAGTAGTTATACCTACTCCTAACTATAGTTAAGTACAAATTACTAAGTTAATATATATATCAATGTATATTATATATGTATACATACCTATTTTTTTTATACTAACATTTTAAACCTCTTTTCATTTAAAGGAAACCTAAATTAATATTGTATGGATACCATTATCCATACGTTGTTAAATGTCTAAACAGTAAAAAAACAAAATTTGTGTACATTAAGATAATAAGAACTGATTTTTTTTATTTATCTGAAATATCAACATCTGATAATCTACAATTCACAAATAAGCTTATATCGTTTACATGCATACTTTCAGTCTAAAAAAGCTGTTCTAAGATAATGGAGTCGAGTGCAGCCACTGTTATAGGTAATTTAATGTATACCTACCTGAAAGCAACGATAAATCATTTCTAACGAAAAAACGATTCTGAGCGGAATTCAGTCAATAGTGATGCTTTGACAATATATATATATATATATATATATATATATATGCATATCATATTATGGTAAAATAATTAAATAGGCATTTTATATTTTCTTCAATAATATTTGTTTAATGTACCAATTTTCACGTTTTTTCAGTTTTTCACATTTAATGAGAAAAATCCTGAGAAAATCGAAAAATTAACTCACTATCATATTGTAAATCGGAGCAAAATTGATTGTAGAAAAGTTGTTCTCAGGAAAAAAAATACCGAAATATTTTTTAATACCTACATTTCGTACATTTTCCCGTTTTCCTCCATTTTTCTCGTTTGTTGATAAAAACTCTGGAAAAATTAAAAAACGACCTCCTTAAAGTACCTTCCCAGTAAAATTTCCTTTCAAACAAAGTGCTATTAATAACATATCAATATGCCGATGGTGACGTTTTATAACATAGACATCGGAATATAATGGACTGAAATATTATGATAGTCCATTGGTACCTTTTTATTTTTATAATATTTATGCATTAACTATACATAATTACTATTGCTATAGTATCTACTAAATATATTTTATATAGATTTTAATAATTAACATGACTAAAAATTAAAACCAATTATGTACAACGTTTTCCGAGAAAACCGAAACTTCCATAGAACTTCTAACAAATACATAAAAAAAAAGTTTATAGGGGATATGATACTCTCTCCTCCCCCTCCCCCCTCCGTGAACATAACCCTGGTATACATAATATCTCTAGAACTCATCGATTTCTGAGAAACAATTAACTTTAGAAGCCTTAATAAAATGTTTATAAATATACATTATGCTAACTTGTATGAAGTATGTTTCCAATATTTGAAATTTGAACAAAAAATGATAACTGTTTGTTCAAACAATCTAAACCTGATATAACCTATATAAACATGTACTGTCGAACGACCTGACGAGGTTGAATTCGTCAGAAACTCCCTCGACTTCATTGGGAACGCTTTAAATAAAATCTATAATTATCGTACATATTAAATTCATGTAGGAAATTTTATTGTTATAGATTCGGAGATTTGCGAGGAATGCAAGCCCGGATTAAGGAGGTCCAAGTAGGCCACTCCCCGGAGTATGAGAAATAGAGACTCATAAAAACCATACAATGATTATCGCTTTTTAATAGAATAGGGCCCCTTACTAATACGGGGCCCCGGGCCCCCTTAATACATACATTTTTTTTTAATTTTTCCCCATTTGGACCAGGAATATTTGTTAAAATATCTTCAATATTTCTAAATATATCCATACTTTTCAATAGTTCACTATTAAATTCTTCCAAATTTTTAAGATTCGTTGATAACTCGGATAAATGTAATTTTATTAATGCTAAACCACATTTGACTGCATTATTTTGTTCAAGCTGTTTCAGCTTTTCGACACTTGTAGCATCATCTGTTAAACTTTCAATCACGTTTTTAAACTCTTCAAAATTATTTGCATAGAAAAGTGTAGCATTTAACCATGTTCCCCATCTTGTAATAATGGTGGTAAAGGTATACCCGGCATTTCTTTTTTGTATTTATTTATTCTCAATGGTACTTTTAGGAAAGCTCTTTTTCCTGACACGAACGAAATAAGTTACATATAAATTTAAATTTTAAATAGGTACTTAAATACTTTTTGTTCAATACCAAGAAATATTTTTAACGAGAAATTAATAAACTGACAAATAGCTTCATAATTGGTGGTTTCTAGTTCTTTACATGCGACTAAATATGATTTACTAGGCGTCCCATCTAATTTACCAATTAATAAATTTGCAATAGCCAAACCTAAACGAAAATAGTATATTTTATAATAGAATAAATTAAAAAACTATTTATATAAACCTCTTGGATCGGTTGTTTCGTCAACAATTGTGTAAACGTAATTATTTCCAATATCACTAATTATTTGGTCCATAACGCTTTTATAAATATTTGGTATGTATTTTTTTCTTAAAGGGCTTTCGTCCGAAATTGATTTTCCAAAAATGATTTTAACACGATTGCCCAGCTTATGCAAAGGAATATTTGCAGTAACAAATGCATTACATAAATCCTCAAAAAATACATTTTTACTATTCGAATTTTGAAAGGTAATCAAAAACTGTTTTTTTTTCTTTATTCCTTTGTAATACATTTATGTGTTGAACTAACAATATGCATGTATTTTTGAAATAATATGTAGTATATTACGTGTAGTATGAGCATAAAATACAAAACTTACTTGTTTTGGAATGATAATCTAATAAATATATTTTTTTCAGTAGACACAGATTTTTTACATACGTGACAATATATAACCTTTCCATCTGATGAAAATACTTCTTTATTTTCATTGTAAGGAGCAATCCAATTCGAAATATTACTTTTTAAAGTAGATTTTATTTTAGACATTATGTCGAATACGTTCACTGTGCGGTCAAACTGATCAAAGAAATAGGCACTAAGGAACCAACAGGTAAACGCACACGAATCGCTATACTACTACGTTGAATTTAATTACCACCATATATATATATATATATATATATATATATATATAGACGCTTATCGCTCGCTTGGATCTATAAGCTTCTAGAAAATTCCAGAGGAACGATAAACGCCTACGATTTTAAAACGTGGGAAAATTGCAAAAAATTGCGTTATAAAATTAAATGGGAAGAATATTTTTAGTATATATCGGCCAAATATTTAATTAGATCTGATTTATCTTTATTGCAAAAAAAGTTGCAATATCAATTAAATCCGGTCTTTAGTTATTAGTTACCAGTTACGGCTCAGTAGTCAGTGGACAGCTTATCGTCGAATATACAATATATTATACAATCATCGACAATTATTATTTGTTATTTGTTAGATTATTATTTGATTTTTTTAAATTTTAAATGTCTTTAAAAATAATGAAATTAGGTGGCACTGAATACAAAAAAAAGCAAAAGAAAAATATTCAAATAAGTCAGCAACACATGTTAAACCAATACAAACTTGGTACCTTAGAGTTTCTAAGAGTGGTCAAAGTAGGATAAATTATGTTATTAAAAAGGAAATGTCTGAAAGTTTGTCATACTTGAAGAATGTATTACACAGAACAATAGAAACATTAAAGTTTCTAACTCCCAGAGGTTTGGCAATAAGAGGCTCAAATGAAACACTTGGATCTGTGAATAATGGTAATTATCGCGGCTACTTAGAACTTATAGATAAATTTGGTCCGTTTATAAGTCAACATTTAATAAAATATGGAAATAAAGGTCGTGGTAATGTCTCTTATATATTATCAACAATTTGTACAGAATTTATTATGATTATGGGAGAAGCTGTTATTAAAGAAATAATCAATCAAATTCAATCAAGGAAATATTTCTCCATTATTGTTAACTCAACTTCAGACATAACTTAAATTGATCAAATAACCATAGCAATAAGGTATGTTATGTTTGACAGATTTCCCGTTGAAAGATTTATTGGTTTTCTTCAGTTGGCCATAAAGGAGAAGATATGGAAAAAGCAATAATTAATACATTTTCAGAACTAAATTTAAGTATTTAAAACTGTCGTGATAAAGCATATGATAATGTCTCTAATATGAGTGGCAAACATGTATGTATTGGCTACAAAAAAATCAGTGTCAGAATGGGGAATTTGATCAACTACTTTTTATTTTTAATAATGACCGGTAATGTGGGATAATGTGGGGTAAGGATTTATGAGTCTGAAAAAAATGTGTGTGCCCGGCGGCACTTCACCTTAACACGGCACTGCGCATTTGCGAATCGCTGAGGATGTTGATTTATTAAAAATAATAATAATAATACAATGTACCTACGTTACCTAACTATTTACTACGATTCCGGTCATATATGGTAAGCGATTTGGAAAATTCAATAATGTTTCGTAATCGTGATGTAATTAATAATTATATTTTATTTTAACTACTGCGCTGGTTTTTGTTTATTATAATTAGATCAATTAACATTATAATGTTGTGTGTAAATATTGGGTATCCATGAAATGTGATGACTTTTATTCGTAAAAACTGCAGTCGAGTTGTTTTAGCGTATCTGCTTAAGACTCACTATTTCGTGCAAAAAACGTAAATCATTGTGTTCAAATGTCAGACCGGAACCACTATCGCCTTCGTCAATGCTTTGTACTAGAATTAAAGGTTTATTTCAATGTGCAACAATTAAAAAAAAATGCCAAAAAGTTATTGATTCAAAAATAATATATAGGTATTGAACGAGAAGTTTTACGTTTCCGACAAGTTTATGGCTATTTTACTATCCATTTCCTGTTATCATTTTGAACAAAAAATGTAATTATATTGTTATAAAATATGTATAATTGTTGAGACTGTGTACAATTTAAGACTAGTTCCTATTTTCCCAATTTTCAATATTTATTTCAATGGCGTACAAATCGTAATAACCAATATATTCTAGTTCCAGGTATATTGTTTTCACCTGTTTGTATTTATTTTATACACTGCATTAGTAGAAAGATACGAGTTTTCGCTCTAAAATGTTCAATATGTCAACACTAATAACTTACATCAACAATCTGAGCGTATTTGTTGTCTTTTACTGAAATACCCTTTTCGTACTTTCCAATCGCTATTGTGTAGTATCCATTATTCGGTAATATTGTACTATATTCCCCGTCGTCCGAAAAACATTGCTCAGCTATAAAATAAACTTAATATTTTCACTTACTTATACGTTCGGTAAGTTTACCTATACAGTATACCGAATGAATATAAAACATAACAACTCAGCAGAGTGAATTCATGCAGGGCCAGTTATATTATCTTGATATATTTTTTATTTTGCAAACCAAATTCAAAGTAACTATAAATTTAAGGTAAATATGATACCTACTACATTTTTTATAAAACATTATTTTACTATACAAAATTGGCAATACGATATTTGAAGCGACTGCGGAAGAATAATTTTTTGGTGCCCGTTAATGGGCTCATCCAAAATTATTATTCAATGTATAATAAAGTTAAAACTATATATTGGTTATATAATATAGCTTATGCTGTTAAAATGATTTTAAATTAAAAATAATTCGACTGTGAAAATAACTGCAGGTTACGGGAAAAAGAGTTAATTTTGCTAATGGAAGTTCCATTATTATACACTGCACGTAGAGTGAAATTAATAAAAATATCGGAATAGAAAAAAAATTGAAGAAATGTTCAAAAAATCATACTATTTCAATTTTCATGTAATTACAACAAAAACACTTCGCCTACAGCTACGTGTAAAAAAAAAAGGCTAAGTAAAAAAAAAAAATCACTAGTTATTACGTATGTTTACGTAATAACTTACATACGTGTTTAGTATCAAAAAGTTATGATATTATTTGTGGACTGTGGTGCTAAGTAAAGTTTTCGATTTACTTGGCGAGAGAAATTACAATTTCCTAAACTGATATCATAACAGTATTTAAGAAGATGAAAGTATTTAAAGTATTTAAAGTATTTATTTATTTATTTAAACATATTTATGCAGCATCATTATAACAAAATAATTAGTAAACTGTATAACTTTCCTCTCTATTTGCTATTATAGCTGTTTAAGACATCTTTTTAGGAAATTATATGTACTCTCGCCAAGTAAATCGAAAATTGTACATAGCACCACAAATAATATCACAACATTATGATGCTAAACACTTCCGAGGTACACAATAACAAGTGATTTTTTTTTTTGTTTAATTAGCCTTTTTTTTACACGAAACTGTTGATGAAGTGTTTTTTTTGTGATATCACCTCTTTTTGCGATTAATTTCAACATGAATCACTGAGAAAATATTGTTTTACAATATTTTTTTTCTCAATTCATCTATTGTTAGTTGTACATTATTAATATTGTTTCAAAATACTTTCGGATTGCATCCTAGTAATACCTAAAGAAAATTTTAATTTACACATAAGCCTATTGGTCCATATCAATATCTTTTTTTAATAAAAATTCTGAACATTAATGCCCATAACTTCCGTTCTATTGAACCGATTGGCATGGAATTAGAAAAAGGCACCTCTCAGTAATATTTTCAATGTTTTAACATAAATTAGAAGTCAATTGATTCTGTAGATTCTATAGTTATGCGCGTAAAAAAAACATGAGCTGGTTTGTATGTGTTTTAATGGGAACGTTGTTGTTCGATGTATGAGTAATATACACTGTCATTTGCTACGCTTTTTTTTTTTACTTAACGCGTACAACAGCCGTTGCACTGTATTAAATTTTTTTTTTGTCTGTGAACAACGTTTGTAGTAGCTATTTCCATTAGTTAATTGTTATAATACTAATATTTTTCATTTTGTATTCTGAACGTAGCAGAATAATTTTATTATGATGTGCACTTTCATTTTTTTTATTTTTTGCCTGTGAAAAATTTAATCTATCAATGCTTCGATTAACCAGCATTTTTTCTGAAACCAAATTATACGAGTAACTATAGTTTGTGTACTGAGGAAATATTTTTTTTTTTTGATTTTCCATATAAAGTTTTCCCAATAACTTCGAAAAAACGGAAGAAAAATGAGAGAATGTACAGAAATAATGATTAAGTCTGTGTAGTTGGCCTCTTTAATTGTAAGTAAATTTAAGTTTATTCTCAGAATTTGTAAGTTGATTGTATATCCTACAATAATTAAGCGTCAATCAAATTACCCGATCTGGTTTTCAAAAAATTTAAAAGATTTTATCTTTGAGAAAAAAATTTCCCGCAAATCATGTAAAAATTCTGGTTTGGTAAGTGACTACTGACTACATAACTCTTTCTAAACTTTGTGCCAAGTGCAAGTTCTATTCAAAAATTGATTATCAGCTTTATATTAATAAAATGCAAAGAAATATAAAACTTTATCCAAATAAGTTTTGGAAATGTATAAATAATAAACGTAAAGTCAACTTCTTAACTATTTTTTTTATAATAGCATGTATTTATACAACGAAAAATTTGATACTCTGAATGATATTATTAATGCTTTCTCTAAGTATTTTCTAGTATATATAAAAATAACAATAATTCTAATCTAAACTATAAACTGCAAGACCAGCCAAAAGTTCTCCTATCTCCTTTGCATTCATGTTCAATAGGCCTACTTGATATTTTTGAGTTACTCAACTCGTTGAATTCTAACTCAAGCTCTGGTTCCGATTTAATACAAAGCGTATTTTTTTTAAATTTTACCTACTTATGTTATTTCCATGCCCCTACTGTATTTATTTAATTTATCGCTATCTATCGGCACTTTTTCTGATACATGGAAAACCAATGTTATACGCCCTGTACCAAAATCTTCATCAGAAATGTTTAATATTTCCAATATTTCCAATTACTGGTAATTTCTTGTTAATAAATTATTTCCTCGTAGTACCTATACAATATAATATAGAATCAATTTTTCTGATTTGGGGGTTTAGCCTTTATAATCCAAAATATGAAGAAATGGAATTGAAAATGAAGGGAAGAGACGCTTGTAAATTTGTTCAATGTCCATCATAATACTTAATGGTTTAATACGACGATTTTTATTAGAGTAGTAAAATAAATTTTATTGTGCTGAATTTTATTTAACAAATAGAATACCCGGGTCTGTCTTATTTGTATAGGGGGTGATTTTATTATCATGAACCAGCAATTTTCTCGGAGGATTTTAAGTGAATTTGATTTCTGTTTTATTTTAATCATTATTATTGAACCAGTTAAGGTTTGTTTTAAAACCATTTTAAATATTTTACTTCTACTTCACATACCTTAAATAAGTATATACGTTTGTTTTTCAAATAGGAACTCCCCATTTTAGAATATTTTTCTAGAAATTTTTATATGCATAATACTAATATCGGAATTACCGTTTATGAGTTATAATCGTTTAAAGTTTAGACTGGAGGAGTAGTGTAGAGTGAAATGATGCAATTTATTATCTTTCCCTATTCCTTCAGTCTAAACTTTAAACGGTTATAACTCATAAACGGTAAATCAAATTCACTTAAAATCCTCCGAGAAAATTGCTGGTTCATGATAAAAAAATCACTCTGTATATTTAACGGGCATGGCCCAGTAGTAAACCGATAATTACAGCAATTAAATAATGCATAGTGAAATAAGAGTAACAATTAAAAACAATAAAATAGAATAAGAAGCGTAAAAAATGGTGGTAAAAACATGCCATAGTTAGTGGTGTGTAACGGAACAACAAAAGAAGAATTGGACCTAGTGGAATGTGTTGGAACCTTAAAACTAATTAGGGAAAGAACAATGAGAGCATCTACACGTCCCTCAATTAGTTTGTGCAAAAACATCAAATTAGCTTCCTTTTTTCTATCTGCTAGAGAAGTAAAACTGAGCTTGCCTATTACTGGACTATAATTGTGAGAA